CCCCCCCCCCCGCCGGGGTAGCCAGCCTGATCCAGGCGTTCAGATCGTGGGGACCCAGGACTTCGCGTCGCACTCCACTAGTATCCGGACGCTTGGAACAGGCCAGTACCTAGCCTGCGTAGTAGGCGACGCGAAAGGAGAGGGGGCGCGAAAGCCCTTGAAAATCGTTTTTACTCTCTTTCTGAGAGTGCGGAAAATTCCTATTGGTAATGAGGCCCCCGAGGGGATACGTGTTCGTTTTAGGCGAGAAAACTGTCAATTAAAGAAAGCACTAGCCTGAATTTCAGACGATAATACAGTCGACTCCCGATAACTCGAACCTTCGCTAACTCGAACCTCGCGCTAACTCGAACCAAAATCGATTTCCCCTGGATTTCCGTCATACATTTACTGCAATTTTACCCTCGGTAACTCGAACCCTTGATAACTCGAACTCCCGCTAACTCGAACCAATTTTCGTTTCTCCTCGGGTCATTAACTCGAACCATGTTTTGAGCCCTTAAAAAGTTGGGAAAAAAGCCGTCTACTGGCGTCCGAAACATTGAATTTTGGATTTCCTATTAACGTGTTGTTGGAGTATAGTTTACTAATGGAGGCTGATGTTGATTGTCACAGGCTAACGTGAAGCAGCTTTACTTCTCAAAACAGTAAAACGCATGCTCTATTTAGGCTATGTTTTGTTACGTTACGTTCTGATTTATAATCTAGAAGTATCTTTTAATTTTCACTTGACATTTCTACCATTAAATGTGATTAAAATGTTCACTGTGCGGTAAAAACTGTTTTTTACGTTACTCTCGGCTATTTTCTTCGAGCTCCCGATAACTCGAACTTTTTTTGATTTCCCTTGAAGGTTCGAGTTATCGAGAGTCGACTGTAATTCGACTCGTTTTCTCCTCTGAGGGAGTAAAAACGGCTCGAAGGGATCGTCTGAAATTCAGGCTAAGAAAACTCGAAATCGTTTATAAACAGGTAGTACAATACAAGGCAGTGGAGGTCTTATTACATCACAAAATGGTATAATGGTAGATCAGATCTTGGAGTTCACTGATTCAATGGGACTATGATGCTGTTACTGCTGCGTAGCAGGCGCTTGGAAGTAACGGGTGCAAGAAACCTCGCGCGCCCCGCTCTTTCTTGCACCCATTTCTTCTAAGCCCCTTCACATTTTTTCCTGAAAATGTAAGAGGAAAGTCTCCTCCTTCTTCGAAGTCGCTAATCAACCCCATCCCCAACTTTGAAAAAAAATTCCAACGCCTGAAACGCTGCCAGCATGAAACGGAAATGCCATTGTCTCGCTTACTGAACTGCCTCGTAACTTGCCTAGTCCCTGTAAGGCTTTTTCCTAGTCCCTCTCGGTCAACTGTCATTGGCGTGGCCAAAACACTTTTAACGCGCGGAATAACGAAGCCTAGGGACTAGGCAACCTCGTACCCAGGCTTTACCTAAGCATGTTCTTGGGGATTCGAGAGCGACTGGAGCGATTTTGATTCCGAGCTAGGTCTCATGGGAACGGCGAAGAGAAAAACGTCTCATTTTTCTCCCCCAACCCTTTCTAACGTCATTTGCGTCAATGCTAAACGTTCCCATGGTCTATTGCGCGATACACTCGCAGTCGCCGCGTTTTCCAACCTCGTCCCCAGGGCTTTTCCCTCAAAAAATGGGTGGGGAAAAGCCCTGGGGACGAGGTTGCGCGTTTTCCTTTGTCCAAACATTTGACTGACGCCTAGGAATGAGGCAGCTTACTGGATGTAAGTTGCAGATTTTTAGGGGCCTGTTTCAGTCTCGACAGTCCTGAGATGAGTTTTTTTAAACCGTAACAAGACAGGCGTCCTAAGCTCACGTTACGAGAGTGGACGCAAGCGAGTCGGTATCGCGTTGCAAGCGATATGAACGAACGATAAATGTCGTTATATTTTACCTTTTGATCAGTAAGCTAAATAAAGAAGATTAATATTTGATGTATTTCTGTTATTGATTGATTTAGTTGGCTCTACTTCATTAGCAAGTCGGTATCGCGTTACAAACGATCGTTCGGACACTGTGTGAAAAACATTAGGTCTGTAAACGATAAAATACCGTTATATTTACATCGTTTATAAATAAAATAAAAAAAGATCAACATTCTGCTTTGGTGAGATGATCTATTTTTAGCAATTCTCAAGCCGTTCCACCAGCCTCTTTTTTCTAAGAATCAAGGCTTCAAATTTCACAGGTGGTTAGCCTGCGAATACCGTGTCTCCTCCGGAGAAACCACCCTCGTGGCGCGGAGCAAGGGGAAACGGTTGTATTCGCGGGCTAACATGGTTGACTAGGGGCCACAAAATATGAAAGGTATTCAAAATGGATCAGTTACCTCAAGATAATTATTGATAAAAGACTTTTGCAGTTCCTTGCCGTTTTTTGTTCATAAAAATAAGTATGTGGGTTTCGATGCAGTTCTTACTCACATTGCCGTAGAGGTAAAAGCGCCAGAACTTACTACCTAAGCAATGCTTAGGACCAAAAAAACCGAGTTAGTTCCAAAGCAACTCTACAGGTGAATTGAACTAAATATTTCCTAAAAGGTGTATCTATTGTACAGCAGCTGTTACTGGTGTTAAGGGACTTGTCAGAAATTAGCAGGGGGGAGGGGGGGTGGGAATTTTAAATTTGGGTTCGGAAATTAGGTGACCCATCCCTGCAATGGGAGTGAAATTTGCTAACCCTCCCCTTGAGCTTGGTCTAAAATATCATGACCCTCCCCACCTTACAGAATTGAAAGAAAAATGTTCCAGGCTCTTTAAGGTGCAGGATTCCAAGCCAACAAGAAAAACAAATGAACAAGAAAAAAAAGGAAACAAAAGCAAAATAAAAGCAAAGCAAAGAAAGCTAGGGCAAAAAGAATGGAAGCTAACTGCAAAAGACTTATTGAAGCCATTGCACCTCAGCAAGAATCGCATGATGTTACAGAGCCTATTGGCCCATTATTTCTTCATTATCAAGGAATAAGTGGGCTCCTCAAAACGCAAAGGCCATATATCCAATATGCCTTTGAGAAGGGTTGTTCACCAATGAATCACAGGACATTATCAAGCAATATCTACGCTTCAACTTAAATGAAAATCATGATGATGATGAAAGTGATTGTATCAATACGAAGCTAATAAAATAAAATAAACAAAATAAAATGCTGATGACATAAATGATGATGATCAAGATGCTCACAGCAGCATTGATGGTGATGCTGAAGACAGGGATGAAAAGGATAGCCAAAACTATAATAACATTAACAACAACATTATTCATAATTGCAATAAGACTATAGCATTGTTATTAATGAAAAGTAGATGTCTGTTGAATTCTTGCAATAGTACTTCACAGTTTATATCCATAATGTTCCGTTGCTCTTTTTTTTTTTTACCAAATAAAGAACTTTCTTTTTCTTCTGTGGGTGAACCGCTACATGATCATAGGCATATATTTGCATGACCTTCCCCCTTTTAAAGGCTCATTTTTCATGACCCCTCCCTTTTCTGAGTCTCAAAAAGTTGTGACCCTCCCTCTTTTTCCACCCCCCCTCCCCCACTGCTAATTTCTGACAAGTCCCTAAACTGATGAAACTGACGCAAAACTAAATTTAAAAAAAGGTGACGGTGTTGTCCTTTTTTTAAGGCTGTTATCTCTCCTGAGCTGCCGTTGAAATGTTTTTAAAACTCCAAGGTTTTTTTTCTACGTAATATCTTAATAGTCATCATCTATGATGAGCCGTAACACTTGAGTTTTCCAAGAGTATGGTAACCTTGATTGACGCTGTCCCCTGCATCACCAAACCTGAGCTGTTTCACTGGAAGCTTTGTCTTGTCAGTCAGGAGACCGCTGTCTTCACGCCATACTCGGTCATTCTTATCACAGTTACAGCCAAGACTAGAGTCTGCGCATGAGTTGGTCATCCCGCATGTGCACTTTCCATTGACAGATGCTCCACCCCAGTACGTCATCTTAGAAGAATCACGTGACACCCACCAAGCGTATCCACTGTACCTAAATATGACCGAATGATGACACTCATACTTGATAAACTGCTCACAGTGTGAGGAGACTCTGGTGAGACTCGCCAGCTGAGAAAAACTCGCTCCATTGTAATGAATATCACGTGAGTAGCTACCTGGGCCTCCATAACCAAGGCCGTCACGCACTTTTGTTCTGCCCTCACTATCGTGACTAATGACTGTCACACCAACACCATTCTTGTCAGCCATATCGCAAAATACAGTAAAGGGTGCCAGGCCTCCCTTGCCATCTGGATCAATGACGTAATTCCCACTTACACTGCTGGATTGTTGTCTAATCACAGAACAGGAGGCAGCTTCTACTGGAGAGTTGACTTGGACTGTAGCTTCTATTGTTGTAAGAGCATTGGTCGCCCTACAAGTGTAAGATCCTTGGTGTGATTTTTTGATGTTAGCCAGAACTAGAGTCCCGTTCCTATGAACATTTGAGGTTTCAGGAAGTGAGGACAGTCCGTCTTTTTTCCAAGTAATTGACGGTCTCAGATCACTCTCGGCCACACATGGAAAGCGAATAGTGCAACCAATCGAAGGAGTCACCACTCGGGGAGGTAGGACTTTAAAACGCAGAGGAGAGAATACCATAAGAAGAACCGTGTCTGACACTGATCCAAGAATGTTCTCTGCCCTACAAATATATATTCCCCTGTCGTTCTTAGTTACATTGTAGATCGTCAGAGCTCCGTTTATCCCTTGATTTCTACCTTTCGGCAAAAAACCGACCGACTTAGACCACGTGATACTGGGTTGCGGTTGACCAGTAGCAGTGCAGGCGATAGTGATGGTTTGTTTCTCCTCTGTCATTAATGTTTGGGATGACAAAGAGATCTGAGGAGTAACTGCCAAAAAAAATAAATCACATGAAAAAAATATATATTGTACTCAGAATCCATGTAAATTGCAGTAAAACAATTTTAGCCCTGCTATGTATAAACATGATCCCCTGGGTCGGTTGTTTAAAATAAGTCTAAATTAAAACGCGGTGTGAGAAATCATTGGACTTCCAGATCTCTTCCAAACTGGGTTATTTTAAGAAGATAAAAATGTTCCTCTCGTCCAACCTCCATGAACCTTTTCACAAAAAACGGAGTCAAGATAAAAGCGTCGGGCAAAGTATTTTTAAATGTTCCGAAGGTTTCGAACGTTTTTTATGAATACCATCAAATATAACGTGGGGATTATAAAAGACGTCGTGGGAAATGAAGAGATAGAAATGAATAGCCCATTTTCGAGTTCTCTATGACCGCTGAATTAAAGAAGTGAAGACGCATTTTTTACAGCCTTAGCCTCCATCTGAAGTAATAACGAGAAAAAGATCTGTTTATTACTCAGGCTATTGTGTGTATTCAAATTTCAAACACTTACTTGCCAGAATTTCTGAATATTTTACTTTACGTCGAGGCTAACCCTGTATGAATATGTCGTTAATGTTTGTATTCAGCGGTGATTTTTTATTCGAAACTGGACCATTATTCCTTTTTGTAACGAAAAAGCAAAAAATTGACAATAATAAACGCAAAAACATTCTTCTACCATGTGATATTGAAGTGTTTACCTCCTTTAATTTGCCACATCTACCCTTTAATTAACGGGATCCATCTTCAACTTTTTTACCAAAATGGGTCTACTGGCCATAACTATGCTTCAAGGCATGGAGAGCTGCGGAATAAGAAGGGCAATGTCTACCGAGTGGCGTGCTTTGCAGACCAGATCCTTGCAAATATGACTAAATATATAGTAAGCGCTAAGAAAATTGAAAGGATAATTGCCAGGTATAAACTTACAATGAACAATAAGTTTCCCTGTAGCGTTCACGCTGCCCAGCAAATTTTCAGCTCTGCAGCTGTAGTCGCCCTCGTCTCCCGGCCTGACGTCTTTCACAGTCAAAGCCTCACTGGATTCCACAACATGTCGCCCCACAGGAAGTGATGAATTCAGCTTAGACCAAGTGACTTTTGGTGATGGATTACCATCGGCTGTACATAAGAAGGTAGCTGTCCGACTTTTATTGACTGTAGTCTCAACAGGACGCTGCAGCAGAGATGGAGCTGAGATGGACTGGCCCGGCTCACCTTTTACGCCTTTCTCGCCTGGTGGACCCCGAGGCCCCACGGGACCAGGGGCACCCGGAACTCCAAGATCTCCCTTTATACCCATTAGCCCTGGATGTCCTATTGGTCCATGTTTACCAGGAGGCCCCTCCGGCCCGGGACTCCCTGGGGAACCTGGTCTTCCGCGGTTTCCAGGCCTTCCCCGTCGTCCTGCGTTACCCTTTGGTCCTGAGCGGCAAAGCGTTTCATCTTTAGCACAGATTTGGTTCTGTAACAGTCGAAGTTCTTCTTTAATCAGCATTTTTACATTGGAGGTTGTTTGTGCGGATTTCTGTTGTGATTTAACAGGCAATGCACGCTTTTGTCTTGAGTTGATGACTTCCGGGCCTTGAAAAATAGCAAAAAAATCAAAATAAAGCTAACAATGAAAACGTAAAAATATGGTAGTGCCCACGAAAGATTGCTTTCTCTCCATGAAATATATTTTTTTGTCTTTTATAGTTACTGAAATAATTCGCGTTCCATGACACATTAGACACATTGGTTCCAAAACAAAACTTGGGAATAACTGTTCCTTTTGGCTCGAACATAACCTGATCTTTAATATCCTTTACAAACTTACCCTTTGTCTGCTGTCTTTGACCCCCTAAATGGCTACCTTTCGTAATTTGCCAATCTTTGTTATTCTGCTGAATTTTTTGAAGAATGTTTTTCTCCATCTGGCCACAGTATGTTACTGAAGATGATATCAGTCGATGATGTTCTGGTATTCTGAGTTCCACATGAATCAGTGCGATACAACATACAACAGACAACAGCAAAGCTGACCTGCAACTCAAGCTGTCCACTGTTTGTCTTCTACTCGCTCCGTTCTCTTCTTTCCTTGCCGATTGCTTCATTTTTTTGTCGTGACAGCTACTGACTTTAAACATTAACTGAATCAAATAGAGTATTTGATTTACTTCTAAACCGAAACCGTTCAGATGATTCAGTAATTCTCCTCGGGTTATAAAAAAGAACTGTCCTTCGCAAATGTTTAACTTATCTGTACGTGCTCTGAGCCTAAGGCAAAAACAGGAATTAAGTATCAAATTTACTGAGGTCAAATGTGTTTCAAACTGCAAAAAAACTAGAATATTTGGTGCATCATATCGCCTGTCAGGATAAGTAGTGGATTATGGGTGACCGATCTAATAACTCCTATTAACATTGATAGAATGTGTGGGCCCGGAGGGGGGCGTCGCTCGCTTTGTGGTGTAAATTGTAGATTTTGTGTCTTGGATGGAAAGTCACTATATTTGCGCATTCAGATATCGCTAAGGACTGTGCGTAAGGAAATTTACAAAAGTGCCCAGGCACTGACCACACAAGAATCTCCTATTTAGAGGCCAGTCTACTTTAAACTCGAGCCGCACCCACATTGGTCTCCTTTAAGGGTTTAATTTGAGCTTTGCGTTGAGCATCCCCGTTAATTTTATATGGGAGTTCCCCCCCTGCCCCCGCCCTGGGCGCGTGGGTTACAGAAAGGAGGGGATATACAGCAGATCAATGAAGGGAACATGTAAAATCGGTTTCAATTGACCTTGGTAACAGGTAACTGATTTCAGGTAAACTACACTTCACAGAGGTTGTAATGCATATAGCTAATGCATGTCGATGGGCTAAGGGTGGTGCGGTATATCAACGAACTTCCTGTTTAAATTTGTTTTGCCTGTTTGAATGGGAGTTACTCTTTGGAGTTTAAGTTGTACCAAGAGAGATGGGTTGTATTCCCGAATAGATCTGAACGCTTACTAACTTGCAGAGATGTAATAAGCATAAACAGGAAATAGACTGCTGGCATAAATTAATAAGTCAAATAAACTGAATCTGGGTTGAGGGGTTCAGTAGTGGGTTTTAAGTCAAGTTGCGCTAAAGACGCGGTAAGGGCTGATGGAAAGGCTTTCAATAGGATTGACCCTCTTGTCTCATTATCGTCTCTTGTCCTCATCAAATGTTTTATATGAATGAATTTCTATTTGTCGCATAAACTATTAGCGTTTTTAAAGAGTTTTCTATGCCAATGAGTTGCCTCATTTTTGCCTTAAGGTACAGCCACAAAAACCAGTAACTGAACTACTTATAAAGTGGATCCATTCGGTAACTTTTTAGGTTAGGTAAATGAAGATCTACCTTTAGTAGGAATACAGTAAAACCCCGCGACTAAGATCCTAGATTTTTCCAAGTTAGCCTAAGCAGGTTCTTATATAAATGGTATTTAGCTCAAGTTTAGGATATTTAGGTTCTTATTTTCTGAAGAGGAAAAAAAATACAATATAGCTAAGAGTATTTAGTGGCTCAGCTCAATTCCTCGAATAAAATCCGCATACCAAATTAGAAGTTATGTACAAATGAACATAAAAAGAAGAACTGTATTTAATTTGTAATTGTTTCAATACTAATTTTATTTGATTTATACATAAGCATTTACATTGCAGTTGGAGTGATAATGCAGCTATGAGAATTCTGAATGTTGGCTTATCTTATTTGCCCAACTGTACATAATTCTTTCATTTATTTAAGAAAATAAGAAACTGTTTCAGATTTTAGGCTAAACAGATTTTTATATAGAGGGGGCTTAACTGGCAAATTCAGGTCCTTAGTCGCGGGGTTTTCGCTGTCTTAACTCAGTTAATTTATCTCTGCCTGTTTTTCTAAGCTCAGGAATCACGACAGGAAGTGAGTCTTATTCGAATATTTGTTCATTACTCTTCCTCTCAGGAGAGAGCTCTTGAACTCAGTCGTCCTTTTATAATTATTATTTCCAAACGTTTGAGTTGTGCGATTTGAGATCTGTGCACATGCAATCTGTTTGTGCTCCCCATGTCAGTAAACTGACTGCACTGAGAAATAAGTGGGCGGAGGAAAAAAGAGACAGTTGAATAAGTTTTAATTTAAAAAACAACTTCGAGGTATCTTTCGTTGGAAAGTTTGTAAGTACAAGTAAGTTTTCCCACCCAGCACACGTCAAAATTATCTTCCCCTCGGGTAATTCATGGCAATCAAAGTCCAAGACACACCCCACCCGGCCATAAGTTGCAGCTTTTGGTTGGGGTTCCTAGTCCAGTTTAACCCCTACTATTAAATATATGCTTATTTATGCTTAACGAGGAAGTCTAAAAATCGTTTTTGTTACTAATTCTTTTCTGATACTAAGGACTTGCTTATCGTGCCTCATTTTTATTATTTATTACTTTATTCCACCCCTCTAAGCTCTAGAAGGCGACAATATATACAGTTTTCTCCCTTTTTAAGTTTTGGCCCAGAAAAGTCCTAAAATAATCTGAATTATTACCATGACACAGCTTCTAAGAGATGTAACAGAAGCCTTGTGCAGGAGATTTATTAAACAAAGAGTGAATTATACGTAATGATTAGAGCACCCCAAAGAAAGGATGTTGTTTGAAGTGAAGCACCACTAAACTTTGTTCTAGTAGTTGTAACGGCAGGGAGAGTAGATGCAAGGGAATTGCCTTCCTTACACGGACCAGCTAAGCAAGCATGTTTACAAATTTTGGTATAGCATTGGTATTGACAATTTTCTTTAAAGCAGAACTGATCACATTGGTTAACTGTCTCTGAGCAGGTCATGATACAGTTGTCTCGGTAACAAACTCGGTGGCACTCATCTGCGTCACAGGTGAGTGTCATGTTTCCATCGCATGCTTCCCGGGTATACTATGATACTCCATGAGGGAAAATCATGTCACAGGCCCCATTGTAACAACTTTGCTGACACTCGACTTCATCACATTTCATTGTTATCCTTTCAAGAAGAGGTACATATCCGAACTGAGCACACCTTTTAGCGTCACGCGGGCAAGTCATAACACACTTTGTATCTTGGCAAACCTGGATACATTGTGTGGCAATGCTAGTCATAGATTCGCACCGCCAAAGCGGCACACAGTAAAAACCCGCGAGTAAGGACCCGATTTTAAGAACCTGCTGGGATAAACTGTGCCAGTTAGGCCCCCTCTATATAAGAACCTGTTATATTATAAGGCTAAACTTTCAAACATGTTCTTATTTTCCAAAATCTATAAAAACATTCCGTACACTTTCGTAGATAAATCAACATTCAGGATCCCCTTTGGAGGCATAGGTACTATATCACTCCAAGTGCAATGTAATTGTATGCAGATTTTACATAAGGAAAAAGCTGAATACCACTAAGTACTCTTAGCTATACATCTTCAAAAAACAAGAACCCAATTAAGGTCCTAAATAGCCTACAATTGTTATAATTATCATTTATGTAAGAACCCGTTTAGGGTAAGTTGGGAAAATGCAGGTTCTTACTCACGGGTTTTCATTGTACCTGTCCTGGCATAGCACTCGATGAACAGCTCATGTTGCATTGTCCAAAAATACAGTGCTCGCATACATTTCTGCCACATTCCATATCTGTCATTTACTTTACATTTCTAAGCCTCTTGTGTGCAGTTGGCTCCACTTAAGACCACCTTAAAACTTGAGGGCAGCGCCGTGGCATGTGTGCGAAATTTTTAATTCCAAGTAGATGACAGGTATGACTACTGAAATGCACTGTTTGGCACGATGAGCATATGCCAGTGACAAGAACGAAAGTGAGGGCAAGAGATGTCCCTTATATGACACCTGCGTGGAAGAAAGCTATAGGAGCAAAACGTCGTTTCTCAAAACGATTTAGTCAAAACAGGACAGCAGAAAACTTCGAACTAAAAAAACATTGAAGGAATGAGGCAAAAAGACAAAGGAGAATTTCCATTAGAAATTACTAGAGTAAGGTATTAAATAATTTCCATCAGAACCCAAAGAATTTCTATAGAACTTTCAAACCATTCCTGGATAAGAAAGACAAGGGAGACGGTACTAGAGATATATGTTTAAACTTTGATAGTAACTTAGTGAGAGATCAAGAAGGTGTAACTGAACACTTGGTGGAGTATTTCTCTACAATAGCGAGCGGAAACGGAGGCAAAAACGTATAATCCCTAGTTAAGAGTGATCTCGATGAGCACAGTTAATTTAGTTTAAAATCAATCTCTACCATGATGACTGGATCGAACGATTCATTTTGTTTTAGACCTGTGACCTGTCATGAGGTAAAAGACGCCATGGACAAACTCAGTTCAAGCAAGGCTGTAGGATACGATAGGATACAACCAAGAGTATTGAAATTGGTGGCTGACGAGCTGACACCTTCTCTAACCAAAATTCCCAATTCTAGCATACATCAAGGGGAATGGATAATACTTTGGAAGCGAAGGGAATGGGTACCTGTGTTCAAGAACGATGACAGGCGAGAAGTCAGGAATTACAGACCAGTCACAGTGCTACCGGCTCTGAGCAAGATTTAAGAAAAACTTCTGAGCCAGCAAATAACTGAGTACTGAGTATATAGATCCAAACCTGAGCCACGCCATATCAGCTTATAGGAAGAACAATAGTTGTAAAAGTACCCTTCTACGGCTTGTAGAGAACTGGAAAAAAGATCTAGACCGTAAAAGAGTTGTTGGTGTCTTATCGTCAGATATAAGTAAAGCATTCGATTCTCTAGTCTTGCCACTTCTGATCAAAAAGTTAGAATCTTATAATTTTACAGATGAGGCTCTGAATTAGGTTCGATCGTATTTTTCCCTCGGAAAAACAGGATTAGGCTAGGGTCGGTGAATATTCAATGTATGGAAGTCAAAAAAGGCTGTCCCCTAGGGTTCACATTTGAGCCTCTATTGTGGAATGTGTTTCAGAACGATCTGACCAAGGCTGTTATGGAAGCTGAAATATCCATGTAAGCAGATGATCACTGTCAGATATTTTCATCTGATCCATCGACTGGACGCGTGGAAGAAAAGCTAATGTATTAGAGGACACGAATTATATGTTGAAGTGGTACCGAGAAAAAATAGGAATAGCACCGAGGGAATGGACATGTATATAGGTGGAGTTGAAATAGAGCAATCTCAAAATGTCAAGCTGCTAGGAATAGATATTGATTCTTAACTGAACTGTAGTAATCATATAAGTGATTAATGTAAAAGGACAAGTCAGCAAATTGAAGTTCTCACGAGGTTAAGGAATCTTATACCTGCTTCTGCCAAATTGCAATTTTTCAAGACCACTATTTTATCCCACTTAACATAATTATTGCAGTACGGTCTGGCATTTTGTAGAGCGTCAGACAGACGCAAACTGGAAAGGTTACGGAGAGAGCTCTGTGCACTGTATTTAACAACAGATCAGAAAAAAAGAAATTTATTTCGGCAGGTCAATCTGACGACACTTTATAATAGAAGGCTACACGACATAGTAATTCTTATGTTTAAAGCAAAGAACAAGCTATTACCAAAGTATCTGCAGGACCTTTTCAACCTTCAAGATGAGGGAGAAAAACGATATAATCTAAGGAACTCTGATTTAATCATGCCACCCTTTAACATTATAAAGTATGGAAAACATTCTCTGTCATATTTAGGAACTTTTCTGTGGTCCAAGTTGACAAAAAAGGGACGGGATAAAATAGTCTGAATGTTTTTTAATGTTTGGTAAGGAAAAAAGAGACTTGTCAGAGGTCTGAATGGAAGATGGGGGTTGCAAAGGCTGCTATTTGTCAGGGGCACTCATCAACTATTTTCTGTAAAATATCTGTTCGACCTGTTCGGAGAAGCAAATATTGCCTAGAATTTTCCATTACTTGAGAACGGCTAAAAATTTCTAAATGACCGTTCCATTCATATACAATTTTTGAAGCGTTTCTAATAAGTTCCGTACGATTTTCTGAAGTTTAATTGTTCAAATTTCAATGCCCTGGTTAGGCTATCTTTCCTACGGAAAAGGAAACCTAAAATTTTCGGATTCAAAAATGTAATGGAGAGGGTAATCGGAGAAATTCTCTCCTTCGTAATACGTCAAATTGCTTCTAAAATTTTCGAGAAAATAATACTGAGGACCTTGTAATTTCGAAAGAACTCAGGTTCCCATAGGTTAACCGATCATTCTCTCTTGAATCACCCCAATTTTTCCGAATAAGAAAACTACAATAAAGACTTACTGTGAGGAGAGTCGGCTCTGCCTCCCCCCTCCAGAGTCATTAGCCAGTTCCCCCACCGCCCCCCCCCCCTCCAAAAAAAACAAACTTCGAAAAAGATTCCGCCGTCCTTGCACATCTAAGGAGCTTCGGGGTGTAATTTTCAGACATTCTGTGTTGCAAAGTGCATTTGAAGATATGCTTTTGTTTCCCTACTACTGTTTCCCTCTAAAATGCTCGGTAGCCCCCACAAAAGTCAGTAAAATGCTCGATAATACTCATCATAGAGTAGACCACGAGAAGTCCCTCATTTTCCCTCAGGGATAGTGGAGCGACCCAAACGCGAGCGCGTGTGAAAATTACCCCTCGCGAGAAGGGCGAGACGCGGACTCTCCCCGCTGCTTTTCGCCTTTCTCATGGGGTGAGATCAAGCATGGACTGAACCACTGCATAGTGCGCCTCTGCATAGTTCGCCTTTACATGCTGAAGTCCGATCTAACCTCCCATCCGGAACTGATTCAACCACTGCTGGGCTGAACGAAAGGAAAAACTAACACCATTTTTTTATTGAGGGAGGCGGCGTTTGCTTAACGCACAAGTCGGTCTAAGACCATGTATTAAAGTCGGTTATTAGGCTTTTCACCCAACACCAATTAATTAACATTAATTGACTTGGTGAGATTTTACTAGTATGAGAAAAACATAGAAGCTCGTAAGTCTTATAACGGCCTAAATGTAAATCAGTGTAAAACTGGAGTTATTTTAAGATAAGAACTTGCTTGATGAAAAAATGCTCCAGTCTGCAAGTCAAGGTCACCCATCGATCCAATCTCGTGAGAAGATAAACTTAACTGGCATTTAGGACTAATAAACGTTTCTGTTGTGCGTTGCAATAGCAACGAACGGTAATGCACAGTGTTTGTCAGAGCGATTTCCACTAGGCCGGTACGTGTTCCTTTATAACTTTTTTACTACCGAGTAGTTAAGTCTTAGGTGCTTTACTTTATAAAAAACATTGACTTATAATGAACACATTTACGGGAAACGTGGTCATAGTTTACATTGTAGGACACAACTAAGGACAGGAACTTATTTGATGTAAGTTCTATATCAGGTAGCTGATTTCGTTAAGTGATGCTTAGTGCTGTATAATAGACGTGTTTTAATATATAATTAAAAGCTAATTAATTTGTTCTTCATCATCTGAAAAACACTTTTCGTTAAAGATTAAAGTAATTAAACTCGCTGTTTGATTAGAGGTTCTGTTTGAAGAATTATTCTTGCGTATTCTTGGGCTCAGGTCATTGATGCCGGTGCTTTTTGTAAGATCTATTTCAAACAATTCTCAAGTCGTTCCACCTCTTTTTCGACCACAGGTTTAGTAAGCAAGTTTTCGTAGTGAGCTCCTGATTGTAGGAAGGCCTTAAATTCCACAGATGGTTGCCAACATTTGCAAAGTATCCAAAATGAATATCAGTTGCCTCAAGATTGTAATTGATAAAAGACCTTTGCAGTTTCTTGCAGTGTTTTGTTCATAAAACAAGTATATGGCCGTTTCATGCGGTTCTTACCCACACTGTGGTAGAAGTGAAAGCGGCAGAACTTACCTATTGAAAAATGCTTAGCACATATACGAATCAAGTTCCAAGGCAACTCTACAGGTAAATTTAACTAAACACTTGCCAATCTATTTTACATGCCCAGCAGCTGTTACTGGCGTCAAACTTTTAAAACACGACGCAAAACTAAATAAAAAAAGGTAATAGTGTTGTCGTTTTGTAAGTTTGGTGTCTCTCCTGAGCTGCCGTTTATATAACTGTTTTTGTTTTTAACTCCAAGGTTTTTTCTACGCGATATGTTAATTGTTATCATCTATGATGAGCCGTAACACTTGAGTTTTCCAAGAGTATGATAACCTTGGTTGTAGCTATTCCCTGCATCACCAAACCTGAGCTGTTTTATTGGAAGTTTTGTCTTGTCAGTCAGGAGACCGCTATCTTCCCGCCATACACCGTCATTCTTATCACAGTTACAGCCATAGCTGGAGTCCGCACATGAGTTGGTCATCCCGCATGCGCACTTACCACTTCCAGCTAATGCTCCACCCCAGTACGTCATCTTGGAAGAATCACGTGACACCCACCATCCCATTCCATTTCTCAATAGCCTTGAACCATAACACTCGTATTTGATAAACTGTTCACAGTGTGAGGAGACTCTGGTCAGACTTGTCAGCTGAGACAGACTCGCTCCAGTGTAATGAATGAAACGTGAGTAACTACCCTGACTTCCATAACCAAGGCCGTCACGCACCTTTGTTCTGCTCTCACTGTCGTGACTGATGACTGTCACACCAACACCATTCTTGTCAGCCATATCACAATATACAGTAAATGGTGCCAGGCCTCCCTCGCTATCTGGATCAATGACGTAATTTCCGCTCACACTGCTCACGTATTTTCTTATAACAGAACAGGAGACGGGTGCTGTAACTGGAGAATTGATTTTGACTTTAGCCTCAATTGTTGACACAGCATTAGTCGCCACACAGCTGTAGGATCCCTCGTGTGATTTCCTGAAGTTTTCCAAAACTAAAGTGTTATTTTGAAGAACAATAGCGTCAACAGGAAGTGAGGATTTACCATTCTTCGACCAAGTAATTGTAGTTTTCAGGTCACTTTCGGCCACACACGGCAAACGAACAGTTGAACCAAAAATATAAGGAGTCACCTCTTGAGGAAAATTCATTTTGAAGCGCAGAGGAGAAAATACCATAAGCAAACTCGTGTCTGATGCGAATCCGAGGATATTCTTTGCCTTACAAACGTATGTTCCTCTGTCCGTCTTTGCTACATTGTAGATTGTCAGTGCTCCGTTTATCACCCCATTTCTATCTGTCGGTATGGTTCCATCGGACTTGGACCACTTGATATCGGGTTGCGGCTGACCAGTAGCAGTGCAGGCGATAGTGACGTTTTGTTTTTCCTCTGCCAACTTTGTTTTAGAAGACAGCAAGACCTGAGGAGCAACTGTCAAAAAATTGATAACATAAAACAATATTGTTAGCCCTGTCATATCCCGCAAGAGAAGGAAACGATGCTTCAACCAGGAGCCATAATCGGGGTAGGAGATTATAACTGGATACCTTTTCCAGTAATGGCGTTGGTTCCATCGAAATACATTCGAACCTCCACTATCAGCTACCTTTCTATAACGGCAACTGCCACTAAAGCGTCCCCCAACTGCCAAATAAACCTCTCGACAACGACCAGTTTTTTCAGCGACTGACAAAAAGGTCAAAACGGTATGACATTTGATTCCGTTGGCGTGTTGATGATTAATCGCGGCAATCGTATACTGCGCAGTAAGCAAGAATTGTCCCAATACTTCTGGCGAATAATGCGAACCTTGCTCGTTTTGACACGTTAACATTTTGATTCGAAACATTATTCAAGGTTTTTTTTTTCTTTTATCTCTACATAATTATTATATATGATTGGATTACTATTCTGAGATACTACCTAAAAAAATTTGTTATATAATTTACACCCCTACCTCCCCATAACGGGCCACCTCTCTACAATGCTCACTTTCTCCTGTCCTCAAGGTGGCCGTTGTGGAGAGGTTTTCTTTTCTTATTTAAATTTGGTAGCCACAGTGAGGTTTAAATAACAAAAGCCCTAATTTGCACAAAAAAGAAAAAACCTGAACGATCCTGGTCATAGTAGTAAAATGACGCCATCATGCAAATGGCCTATTGGCTATTTTTAGCATAAATTGTGCCCTCTCGTGTGACAGACAGGCGCAATCACAGACGCATTCTTTGCGAGGGCGCCGCGCAAAGGATAAAGAAACAAAATGGCGTCGGAAATTACTTTCGTAGGAGATAAATAAATTCAATTTCTGTCATCATTGCCTCCTCTGAATTTGAGGCAAGGCCTTGAGGAGAACCTCTTGGACAATAACTCTAATTGTGAGGACAGCGAATGTTTGAACCCGTGACCTTGCGATGCTGGTGCGATGCTCTAACCAACTCTGAGCTATGAAGCCACTCATGATGTTGGGACCAGTTCCCAACATCAGTGGCTTCATAGCTTAGTTGGATAGAGTATCGCACCGGATCGCGAGGTCACGGGTTCAGATCCCGTTGAAGTCCTAATTTTTCTTTCAGGCTTCTTACGCAATTGCATAAATTGCGTTCACAACTGCGAGGATCATTCGCGAATTCTTCAATTGATTTCATTTCCGCATGCAGTCCTTATATGACTTATTTCATCTACATCATTTACAAACTTATTTCTAGTAATGTTTATATAACATTCGCTCATTCCTCCACTGTTCATGCATTGCCTCTCGAGATATGAAGCACTTCAAAAGCTCAGAGAGCACTCAAATGAAGTCGCAAACGATCGCCCATCTCCTGAATTTCCCCACGACAGCCGCGCGGTTTCGCGGCTCCCCACGCGAGTTTGTGACGTAGAGGGTGGCGCAGTTTGTTCTAAAAATAGCACATTTGGCTATTTCGATGGAGCCGCCTGGACCCCGCGCTTGCGGTCTCTTACCCCAATTATGGCTACTCCTTCAACTCAATGAGCTGTCCTCTCTTAAGATTAAAATTCCCGATGAATTGTTCCAATGAATTCCTTTAAGGTATCCTGTATAGCATAACAAATCAAAACATTTTAAACGAGCGTGTTTGTATGGCCAAATATACTCTTCATGTTTAAAAATTTGCGACTTTCTTAGAACATAAAACGTACGTGGGTTTTAATCGTAGCTGAATGAACTGTGAGATCATTAGTTTAGTAGTTAATTAACCTGAGTGAATAATAAGCGAGAAAGAGAAAACGAAAGAAAGAGCCTTCTATTTTACTGCTAGTCCGTTCAGTCGCCTGACTGATCTAGCACCTGCTGCAATAGCAAAATCACAACAAAGTTCTTAGTCTTCATAGGACCTCTAAATAAGACTGCTGCAAGATTAGAATGCTGGAAAATATAACAGGTCAACTTACATTGAACTGTAAGTTTCGCAGACGCGTTGACACTTCCCAACAAGTTTTCAGCTCTGCAGCTGTAAACACCCTCGTCTCCAGGTCTAACGTTCTTTACGATAAGAGCGCCACTGGACTCTACCACGTGACGTCCAACTGGAAGCGAAGAATGTATCTTAGACCACGTGACTAGAGGAGTTGGATTACCGTCGGCTGTACATTTTAAGATGACTGTCTGACTTTCATTGACTGTGGTTTCAACAGGACGCTGTAGCAGAGATGGAGCCGAGATGGACTGGCCCGGCTCACCTTTTGTGCCTTTCTCACCTAGTGGACCTCGAGGCCCCACGGGACCAGGGTCACCCGGAATTCCGAGATCTCCCTTTATACCCATTGCTCCTTGAGGTCCTATTGGTCCATGTTTACCAGGAGGCCCCTCAGGCCCGAGTCTCCCTGGGGGACCTGGTCTTCCTCGGATACCAGGCCGTCCTCGTCGTCCGGTGTTACCTTTTGGTCCTGAGCGGCAAAGCGTTTCATCTTTAGTACAGATTTGGTTCTGTAACAGTCGCAGCTCTTCTTTAATCAGTATTTTTACACTGGAGGTTGTTTGCGTGGATTTTTTCTGTGATTTAACAGGCGATGCGCGCTTCTGTCTTGAGTTGGTGACTTCGGGGCCTTGAAAATATCGAGAGAATCAAAGTTAACGCTAAAACAAAATTGTATTGCCCACAAAAGATTGCTTTCTCTCCGTGAAATATTTTTGGTTGCCTTCTATAATAACTTAACTTGGTCCCAGAGGTTTTGCTTGAAATTTTTCTTCGTGAAAGACACAGCGTGCCGCGAAACATGAAACATCAGACACAGGGGCACTTAACGCCGAACTGTTTTCAGTGAAGTATCTGTTCGCAGAGGCAAATATTGCCTAGAATTTTCTATTACTTGAGGACGGCTAAAAATTTCTAGATGACCGTTCCACTTATGTATAATATTGAAAGCTTTTCTAACAAATTCCCCACGATTTTCTGTAGTTTAATTTTCACATTTCAATCTCCAGGTTAGGCTAGTTTTCGAAGAAAAAAAGGAAACCTAAAATTTTTCAGATTCAAAAATGTGATGAAGAGAGGAATAGGAAAATTTCTCACTTTTATTATACGTTACATTTCATCAAAAATTTTCGGAAAAATAATACTGAAGCCCTTGTAATTTCGAAAAGACTCAAGTTCTCCTAGGATGACCGAACAGATGCATTTCTAGAGGTCCAAAAGTACTCTGGCAGCCTAAAAATCGTTTTTAAAGAGTTTTGGAGGAAACCGTCGTTGGGTGCCTTGAACTGTTGAAGACACGTACGTTGGTTGAAAAACAAAACTTTGGCATAACTGCTTTTGGTTCAAATATTACCTGTTAATTAATCGACATTAATATCCGTTACAAACCTACCCGTTGTCTGCTGTCTTTGACCCCGTAAATGGTTGCCTTTCGTCATTTGCCATTCTTCGTTATTCTGCTGAACTTTTTGAAGAATTTTACTTTCCATCTGATCACAGCATGTTACTGAAGATGATATCAGCTGATGATGTTCCTGTATTCTGAGTTCCACGTGAATCAGTGCAATACAACATACAACAGACAACAACAAAGCTGACCTGCAACTTAAGCTGTCCACTGTTTGTTTTCTACAAGACCCGTTCTCTTCTTTCCTTGATGGCTTCATTTTTTTTGCCGTGACAGCCACTAACGTTAACTTGTAAACCGAAACCACTCAGCTGGTTCAATAACTCTTTTTTCGCGTGTGATAATAATGAACTAACGCTTTTGCAAAAAAACTTAAGCTTGCTTCTGCGTATTCAGGGTCTCAAGCAAAACAGGAAGTAAGTATCAAATTTCTTTTAAAAATATTGTAGCATATTTGTCCATCATATCGCCTTTCAGGAGAAATGGTGGATTATGAGTGGTCTTAATAACTGATAGAACGTGTGGGCCCAGGGGAACTCCCACGTAAAAGTGACGGGGATACTTGTCGTCTCCCTTTTGGGTGTATAATTGCAGATTTTGGTCTCAATTAGGGTGTTTGGAATGGAAAGTCACTATATTTGCCCATTCAGGTATCGCTTAAAGAAACTTACAAAAAATGCCCTGACACTGACAACACAGAAATCTCCTTTAGGGGTTATATCAGTCCAAGCTTGAGCCACACCCACATTGGTTGTTAACGGGGTTTTATTCGAATTTTCCGACGATTATTCCCTTCACGTTTATAGGGGAGTCCTCCTTCGGGCGTGTGGGAAAGAGAGGACGGGATTTACAGCAGATCAATAAAGGGAACGTAAAAATAGTTTCAACTGACCTTGGTAACAGGTAACTGATTTCAGGTAAACTACATTATACAGGGGTTGTAATTAATGCATATGCATTTCTATGGGCTAGTGGTGGTACGGTAGCGAGCTTCCTCTTTTTAACTTGTTTTGTTTGAATATGTGTTACTCTTTGGAGTTTAAGTTGTACCAAGAGAGATGGGTTGTATTCCTGAATGGATCTGAACGCTTTCTAAATTATAGAGATTTTTACACGATAAGTCAAATAAACTGAATCCGGGCTAAGGGGGCTTAAGGGTTTCAAGGTTGCGCCATGGCCGTGATTAGTGCTAGTCGAAAGGCTTTCAAAGAACAATATTGACTCTCTCGTCCATTATCGTTTTTTGTCGCTATCTATTAGGGAACGCTTTCAAAAGCGGACACCGTAGGGACCTGTAGTTAGTGTCCTCATTAGCAAGAGTCCGTAATAGCGACAGTTTTTTCAGTCAAACCTCTGTAATTAATTTTTGCCCGGGATTTAGCTGCTGTCCGTATTATCGGGGTGTCCGTTATAGCGGGGTGTCCGCAAGGCGACAGTTGAGTTTTAAAAAAGTGAATTTCTATTTGTCGCTTAAATAATATTAGCATTTTTACACGTCTGCAAAGCAACGCCGATATCCTTGTTCTGAGCCCCCAACGGACTCAACGAATTACCGGAAGTGCGTTCGAATTTCCTTTCATCTTGATTGGCAAATCGACAATGGTATTTTAAACAGGCCAATCATAGCGCGCACTCAAATCCTGGTACACAGGTGGTGGCAAAGAACAAGGATTTCGGCGCTGTTTCGCAAACGGACTTAACCAGAGTCAGGAGCCCATAACCCGGAGCTTGCAACTGCCATAAATCCGTGCAACGGGGTTTTTACAAGTGAGTTTATTTTAAGATAATCTTTTCCCGCGAAAAATGACTGTTGTCGTTTGGACCTTTTCACATTCGGCTGTTTTGAAGATGATTTCGATTTCCCTTTGCGTGAATTATGCGTTGTCGCCGATGAAGTAGACGTACCGGGCTCTTCTACGTTTTGCAGATCTTCCTCTGAACTGCTAGTTTCCGTGTAAATGCTGCAATTGTCGCTTGAAGTACTGTCAGAAGAATCCTCTGAAGATCCCTCATGTGCGTGCGCCATGTTTTTTTTTTCAATGTGAGGGAGTTGTCCTGGTTAAGTATTAAAAGTTTGTTATTGATGACGCACTTGCTTGTGATTGGCTTTTCGAAAGCAATTCGCGGGAAAGGCTTATCTAAAAATAAACCTACTTGTGAAAACGCCGTTGCATAGGCGCAGTATGGAAGTTAGACGTTCCGGGTTATGGGAGTTTAGTTTGCCTGTGGCACAGGCTACGCGCGTACCACTGCAGGGGTGGATCTAGCGGGAGGGTGCAGGGAGAGCGCACCCCTCCCCCTCTAAGACGACCTGTGGCATTCTAATACAACTGCTATTCTGCAAAAAATCTTTGTGGTTTCTTGGTGTTGAAGTAAAACATGAGACAAGGTTGGAGAATTTATATTAAGCGCCGTGAAAATAATACAGTGGAACCCCGCCTTACGGCCACCTCGGTAATACGGTCACCTCGTTAATACGGCCAGTTTTTTTCGGCCCGACTGGCCTGGGTAGCATGGCGGNTATTCTGCAAAAAATCTTTGTGGTTTCTTGGTGTTGAAGTAAAACATGAGACAAGGTTGGAGAATTTATATTAAGCGCCGTGAAAATAATACAGTGGAACCCCGCCTTACGGCCACCTCGGTAATACGGTCACCTCGTTAATACGGCCAGTTTTTTTCGGCCCGACTGGCCTGGGTAGCATGGCGGTTTTGTTTGGGCGCGCTAAGTAATAAAGGCGGGCGAGGGCAGAGAAACCGCTAGGATATTGGGGCGGGAGAAAACCGCCATGCTACGCAGGCTACGGCCCGACAAAACGGCCGACATTTCCTTATAAAAAAAACCCTGTTAATGCGGTTACCCGTTAATACGGCCAACGGCCACATTTTACAATCCTAAAAAGTAGAATCTCTTATAATTTCACCCGGTTAATAAGGCCATTCGTTCGAAATTTAGAAAATTAAAGTGCCTGTAACATGTCAATTATATTGACCTAGTAATCTTAATCTGAACTTATTCTTGTACTGTTTTTAGACTACGGTACACTCAAAATCCACTTATGGCGATTTTCCCGAATCTTAAAGCCGTGAATGCGATGTACGGTGTATTTGTCATTACGGCCCTCAAGTCATGAAATTTGAGCCTTCTTCGTTAATACGGCCAAATTTTTTTGGCCCATTAGTGACCGTATTAACGGGGTTCCACTGAAGTTAAAATGGCAGTTCAATCCCTTAGTGGTGCAACCCCTCCTAAGAAAAATTCTGGATGTGCCCCTGCACTGAATTGCTTTATTTTTGCCATAACGTTCGTACAGCCACTAATATAAAAGACCATTCGAACTACTTGAACTACTTGTAATCTGGAGCCATTTGGCAACCATTTAGGGTGATACAAGAGCCATAATGGGCTTTAAAGGCTCTCGGGTGATGTAACTGGAGGTTTAGCAAGAATATTATCTTGTCTCTGCGTGTTCATGGCTCAGGAACCACGACAGTAAGTGGATATCGATTTGGTTGAGGTCAAACGTGTTTGAGATTGCCTCTCGAACTCAGTCGTTTTGTTTATTTCCACACGTTGCGAGTTGTGCAACCTGAGAGCTTAATAAAGTCACAGTGACACATGCAGTCTGTTAGCTTCTGTTTGTGCTCCCAATGTCAGTAAACACTGCACTAACAGATAAGTGGGTTAAGAAAGCAAAGGACAGCTGAATAAGTTTAAAGACCAATGTCGAGGTCTCCTGAGTTGGAAATTTTTCAAGTACAAGAAAGTTTCCCACACACATTGCACGTAAAAATTATTTCCCCTTGGATAATCCATGGTAATAAAAGTCCAAGGCACACCCCAATCGAACCCGGCCATAAGCTACAGCTTTTTGTCAGAGCTCCTAGTCCAGTTTAACTGCTGCTATTAAATACATCCTGATTTATGTTAACGATGAAGACTTGAAATCGGTTTGTTATTAGTTCTTTTCTGATACTAAGGACTTGCCTATCGTGCCTCATGTTTATTATTTATCACTTTATTTCATCCCTATGGGGATATAGAAGGGGGCAATAGATACAATTATCACATATTTAATTTTTGGGCCAACAAAGTCTTAAAATTCTCTGTATTATGACTATTACACGGCTTCAAAAGAGATGTCACGGGAGCCTTGTACAAGAGATTTACTAACCAAGGAGTGAATTACACGTAATTATTAGACCACCCCAAAGAAAAGATGCTGTTTGAAGTGACGCAACACTAAACTTTGTTCTAGTAGTAGTAGCGGGAGGGAGAGTAGATGCAAGGGAATTGCCTTCCTTACACGGACCAGCTAAGCAAGAATGTTTACAAACTTTGGCATAGCATTCGTATTGACAATTTCCTTTAAAGCAGAACTGATCACATTGGTTAACTCTCTCAGAGCTTCACATCTTAGTGTCATGTTTCCATCGTATGCTTCCTGGGTACAAGTTGATACTCCATGAGGGCAAATCATGTCGCAGTCCCCATTGTAACAACTTTGCTGACACTCGACTCCATCACATTTCATTGTTATCCTTCCAAGAAGAGGTACATATCCGAACTGAGCACACTGTTTAGCTTCACGCGGGCAAGTCATAGCACACTTTGCATCTTGACAAACCTGGATACATTGTTTTGCATTGGAGGTCGTAAATTCACACGTCCCAAAATTGCACACCTGTCGACAAAATCCTGGCATTATACTTGATGAACAGTTCATGTTACATTGACCAAACGAACATTGCTGCTCGCATACGTTTCTGTCACATTTCATATCTGCGATACTTTCCCTTGCCTCTTGTGTACAGTTCGCTCCACCTAAAGGGCACGTTAGTCTACACTCCTCCCTGAAACAAGACTGCGTACAAGCATCTGCTTCACAAGTCAGTTCACTCCCTGACTTTTGCTTGCATCTGGCAGAGGTCTTATCACATGTAAGACTACTGCAGTTCCCCAAGTAGCACGACTGATCGCAGGCCATCGCATCGCAGGTTAAGGACCCACAGTTGCTCAGTGAGCATAACTGTAAGCAGTATTCCGAAGCGCGACGTTCAAGAGCATCACACCTGCTTGGAAGACAAATCTGACGACATGAGTCATATTGATCATGGGTCTCCAGTCCACATTGCATTGTGCAAGGAGTTTCTGCACATGATACCTGGTTACACGAGTTATTGTTTGGCTTTGTATCACAGTCAATTTTGTTGCTTGTTGGATCCACCAAAGGCCACGAAACGCAGAACACAGCAAACACC